AATTGCATCTAGGACATGGACAAAGAAGCTTACTGTTGGTAGTTGCATTGGCAAAAGCAAATTCTAAGAAAGAGTTCAATCAGGCCAAATAACATCAAGATGTATGTAGCAACCTGATCCATGTCTTATCCATCATTTATGCAAGTAAGAGCAGGGGAAGATCTCATAGAAAATCTCAAATTGAAGTGGAAATGAAGTTTCAGATAGCTAAGATGATTAAAAGGGAAAGAGGTAATGGTCAAATTTCTGTAGCGGTTATAAAATTGTTACAACATTAAAAAAACCACTACTAATACCAACAGTCAAAATTTTGTAGTAGTTTCAAAACCCCTAAGAAGTTTCAATGTGGAGGGAAAAACAAATTTCAAATTTCAAACTTTGTAGCAGTTTCTATAAACCACTACTAATACCAATGATCGAGTTATTTTATAGTGGTTATTTAACTACTATAAAAGTCACACTAGGAGGGATAAAGAAGTTTTAAAATTCAAACTTTGTAGTGGTTATATAACCACTACAAATTTCAGATGACAAGGGAAATTCAAAATTGAAAGTCAGTGTTAGTGGCAGTTTTAAAACCGCTACAACTCACAAAAATTTGGTTACTTTATAAAACTTTAATCCAAATTACTTTATTATTTTGTTTTACGAGAAAAATATGCTCAAAATTCTCTAAATCAAATTGTTAAACAACCAAATAAATATGATTACTTGAAAAATAAGAAATAAAAAATCCATAAAAATTAAAATCAAGTATAAAATTCAACTAAATTATAGTAATCCAAAAATAAATTAACGTTTCAATGTTCATAAAAGTAATAAAAGTCCTCAATTGTTAGTCCTCTGTGAAGACTAGACAAAATCATCATCCTCATCCTGACGAGGCTACTAGTACTAGGGCTGGGTCTAGGCCTAAGGCTAGAGTTGAACAGACATCCTCCCAGCTCAATCAGTTGACTGTGGTTATTTAAATGGACTATGACATGTACATCCTGCACGTAATGCATGTCCTTCATGTTCAGCATCTTCGTGGACCTATTGCCCCTTTAGTCTATATAGTTTAATTGATAATCAAATAATATCAATAACAACTTGATTATTATCATTATAAATATTAAATAACATATTTGTCAATTGATATAAATAAAAATTTCACTTACCCATAACCTCCACCTTCCATTTGCCCAATCGTCTACCAGGTCGACGTGCTTGATTTTGTTTGCTACTCCTCCTCCTCCTCTTAGCGCCATAGCTCGTTCTCCTCATCATTCTCCATTCCACCCTCGCCCCCGTCAAGGTTCAGATCGAAATGATCATCGATCACATAATCTTCCATGCTGATCATCGGCCCATCATCCTCCTCTGGTGGCTCCTGGAATGGCCGAGGTTGGTCAGGATGCCAGGGAAGTCTCGTAGAATCAATAAGGTCTTTACCATGTCTACGAGCCATGCTATTTAAACTACAAATAGTTAATTAAACAAAATTAAAAATAAAAAATTGCTTAAATATGAATTTAATAAATTCTAAACATTTCATAATTACATTTCAAAGCATAAGTAAAAATTAAAAAAATTAAAACCAAATTCAGCTTTTTTATATTAAATAAAATACTAGAAAATTTAATTAAAATAATATCATTCATAATGTCTAATTAAACTAATAACTAAGTAAAGAAAGTTGATTATTAAACAATTAAAAAAAACACTCAAGCTAAAAAAACTAAAAGCATTAACATATACGATCATCACAAATAATTAATTAAATAATTTAAATCACAAATAATTAATTGAAAAAATATGAAATTTAAAATTATTTAAATATGAATTTAATAAATTCTAAACATTTTATAATTACATTTCAAATCATAAGTAAGAATTTGAAAAATAAAAACCAAATTCAATTTCTCTGATATTCAATAAACTACTAAAAAATGTAACTAAAATAATATTACTCATAATTTCTAATTAAATTTATTTCTAAATAAAAAAATTTTATTATTAAAAACTTTACAAATAACACGCAAACTACGGAAGTTAAAAACATTAACATATATCATTATCACAACTAATTAATTACACAATTTAAATCGCAAATAATTAATTAAACAAAATACAAAAATACAAAATTCTTTAAATATGAATTTAATAAATTCTAAACATTTTAATTACATTTCAAATCATAAGTAAAGATTCAAAAAATAAAAACCAAATTCAACTTATCTAATATTAAACAAAATACTAAAAAATGTAACTAAAATAATACTACTCATAATGTCTAATTAAATTAATTATTAAATAAACAAATTTTATTATTAAACAATTTACAAATAACATGCAAACTAAAAAAATAAAAAATGATAACATATATAATCATCAACTCAAATAATGTCAATAACAATGAAATCAACAAACTAAATTAAATTTCAAATTAATAGCACACTACTAAATTTTTTTAATACACTAACTATTAAAAAATTAACTAATACATGAACTTACATTTGCACCTGGACAGCTAGAAGTGGATTTGGAGTTGGATCAAGAGATGCAACAAAATTTTCAAAAAAAAAAAAAAATGGTAGAACCTCACTCCTCAAATGTGCCAAAAGTGAAAAAATGAGAGGGACAGTATATATATATATATATATTGTGCCAAAAGTGAAAAAATGAGAGGGACAGTATATATATATATATATATATATATATATATTTATATATGTTGAGACCAGCACTGAACATTGTAGTGATTGTCAACAAACCGCTACAACTTTCTAGCACATGTCATTTCTGTATTGAATAACAAAACATTTTGTCACAGTTGTCCTGAAAGCCACTACAATGTTGCGCACTTAATAACAGTTTTATCTATAATCGTGACAAAATTATGCAGAATCTATAACTCCTGTAGCAGTCTACATACAACTGCCACAAATGTGATGACTGATTTACATTTCTACCTCTGTTTTGTTAAATAAACTGTTTTTTAGCAATTACATACATTAAATCGTAACTGCTATAAATGTGGCGTTAAGTTCACGCCACATTTGTAGTAGTTGTTCAAGGCATAACTGCTACCAAGTGTGACATAAAATATTTCACACCAAACCAATGCAAATTTGTAGTGGTTTATCCCAAAACGGCTACAATGTTGCTACTTTGTAGCTGTTTTTTGTAACCGCTACAAATAAATTGCTACAAAAATACATTTTTTTGTAGTGATATATATCGTGACCTCCACCTCATCATCTATTATCTTCATCGTCAACGACACCCATCTCTTTGCTAACATCATCATCTTCTTTGATCATCAACACCAATGAGGACCAGTCGGCTAACCTAGAACTAAAGCTCATGGTTCGACCTTCATTGACCACCAACACAGAATGCCACGACTCGATCTCATCAACCTTCCATCTTCTATTTCCCTTATTTTAGTCTCAATCAGATTCTTTCCTCCTCTAGTTCCTAAACTTTGTTGCAATGAGGGCCAAACCAATAGAGCTTGGTGGAGTGGTTAATTTGACATGACTAGCTGAATTTGAAATTCCCTAAGGTGCTTAGAGTTATGCCAAAGCTTAAAGCATCAATAAGAGAGTTCTAATTATATTCTTATCTCTATTTTTAGTTTTGCATTTTGATCTGTCTTGGTTAGAAGATTGAATTGTAATGGACTTGTTTAATTATAGTTGTAATGAATTTTAGGATTTGAATACTGAGATTGATAGTTGTGTACTTGATTTGTATTGAGATATGCTTGATTTGGTTGTTTGACATTGGATTGAGTTAATCTTTTGTTAATCCGTTGAGCTAAGTATATGTTCAATCTTGTGGTGGATGAGATTGGTGAATTTGATTGTGCAAAGTTATTTAAATCTCTTCCAATAGTACTTAATGAGGATTATTAATGTTGTTGCGATTCTTTTGTTTAAAGAGATCATTAACAACTTAATGAATCTAAGTTTAAGTAGTTGCTTAAACTAATTGGTTTGATTGGAAATTAAAACTCCATAAATCTTTTAAAGCAAAGAAGGCATAGTTTGAGGCTCTAAGGAGGAATTAATTTCAGTTGTTATCTTTTAATCAAGTTTCTTAATTTTTAATTCCAATTTACCTTTTCACTCTCATTTTTATAGACGAAAATCCCAGAAAGAAGTATTTAGAAATTTTTTTTCAATTATTTTGCATAGTGGCTTTTATCTTTGAAAAATCAAAGAAAACCCCTATTTTAAATAGCAATTTCGATATTTAGCTAGCTTAGAACCTAATTAATTTTGGCTATAAAAAGAAAATGAATTTTGTTTGCATTGCTTTGCAACATTCTAAGTTTGAATATAATTTAATTTGACCACCAAGGCAACGTGAGGGCCAAATATGAAACATCTCAATTAACTTGCTATAGACAAATAACAAACTTGTCTCTATTATATAATTACAACAATTTTAGTGAAATCAATTTATTTCAATCCTACAACAACTAACAACCTAATTACAACTGTCTAAATTAAATCATATACAACATATTAGTTCTATGCTCTTGTCAACTTTTCAAGTATAGCCAAAATATTAAAAAAAAAAACTAAATAAAACAACCTACTTAATTAGCAGTAATAAAAATAAAGAAACAAATAAATATAAAATCATGGACAAAAACACACTGTACCTGAATACATGCCTACTTTAAAATCATGGACAGCATACTTTTTAAGCATATCCAAACTTTAAAAGATCTGCGACAAAAACAGAAACAAAAATCATGTCAAATTCAAAAGTTAAGACTAAAAGAAGTTACATTCCGAGCTTCATAAATGCAAAAGAAGTAAAGCCAGAGAAAAAAAGCAGAGCATAGAACTGATTAGATTCAAGACTTTGATAGTATAATAAAAGCTACCATTGTAAATTGAGATTTTGTTGAATAAAGTGATACTTCACCTATCTCCTTCTCTTCTCTCTTTCTCTCTCTCTCTCTCTTGACAGGCCTGTACGACTCATTTATAATAAACTTCATACCTATTCTACAGAGGTAGAAAGTTGATGACTTATAGTTTAATAGATGAGGATGCGATAGTTGATGGTTGTATTAGAAGTTAATATATAAAAAGAGATAAGTAAGTTCACGATGATACCTAGAGCTCCATTATGCTTAGATGCTTGATAATTTTGGGGACTAAATAGTATTCTTTAGTATCTCTAAGGCATCTATAAGAAGTATGACCATAGCACTTAGGCCAGTAAGGAATTTAAGAGGTGAGATTCCTCTAAACGGTGCCACTGCCATGATGATTGAACGAGTCAGGTCGAGAGGCTTCCCTAATAGGGATTTGACATGCAAGAATATGCTGGGATAGAGATTAAGTAACTGGCAGGTCTTGGCCATAGAATGTCTTTCAAGTTAGGAGGTGGTTCTTCGATGCAGAGTTGACGCTACTCTACTAAGAGCGAGCTATTCTCTGAAGGGAAGGAAAGGAAACAATTATGATGGGGTTGGCAACGTTATGAAGGTAACAACACGTCCTCTGAGAGTAGTAGAGTTGACGTTGTACGTGTAAAAGTGTTATATCCTCCATCAAGGCAGGGAAAGCGGTTAAGTTGACATGCTCTGGTGTGAGCAACATGTCCTTCCACGGGAAGAGTAACAGTAGCTGCGGAAAGGCTCACAGAGTTAACCTTACCCTAATGAGAGTGAAGTTGGCCAAGGGTAATGAAAGGGTGGAATACCTAAGAAGATGATAGAGATGATTTTTCAAGACTTCAACCTATAAGATGAGAAAGAAAATCGTAAGATATGGTAGACTGACATAGATACAATGACAAGCCCAGAAGGCCATGGTTGTGAGCCAATGGCCTAGAGAACTAAAGGAGCACAATGAAAGGGAAATGGCCCGAGGTAGCTAAAAGTTAAAAGAAAAGCAAAGGCAGGAAAGATGAATGATTTTGGAGTTGATAGAGAAGATTGAGTAAGGCCTAAGAAGACAATACTGACATTTGTGAGTAGTCTTGGAGAATAATCAGTCAAGTTACCAGTTGAGGGTAGGTGACTTATTCCTTGACTCAGTCCACTGGTCTAAAGGCTCCCAAAGAGTGGACATGGCTCAGGCAGAATGGGAAAGAATCCAGGGTCACAGTAGATCCTGAAAAGGCTTACGGGAGAGCACCGTAGCTCTCAAGGTCATAGTATACTAAGCCTAAAGGAAGGTTATTGAGCCATAAAGGTAGTATCTCTTTGAAGCATGAGAATGAGACGATCAAGGATGAGTCTAAGATGAGGATACCTTCTCAGGTTGGTTGCCTAGTATAGAGAGAGTACCCTTGACTTTTCCACAAACACTATTATTGTTGAATAGACCGAGCTCAATTGTGTTCTAGTTAAAAAAAGAAAATGAGGAAAATAAGAATTAAGGGAACCACAGGCTATAAGTCCTGAAGGTTTCGCATTCAGACAAGCTATATGCAAAATAAGAATGTGAAAAAAAGGAGATAAGCCCTTAAGATAAAGATGAGAAAGGTAGAGTATACCGAAAAGAACAGATAAGGGTAGTGTTAGAGGAACCTGAAATGCCATGGTACAGTGAAAGACCATGAAGGCAAGTATACTGCTATGGCATTATTATGAAAGAATCGGCCTAAAGTATAGGAAAAGTGAGAGCTGTAATGATAAAATATGTAAAAGTAAAGACCATGCTTGTATAAAAGACAGAAAAGTAAAAAATGCAAAGCTATGTTAGCATAAATTCCAGGATCAAAACCTAAAAATGAGGCATAATGGAAAGCTGAAGAGACCAAAGTTGAGTATAAATAGGGATATTCTCCTTAGTTAACTTCTCCTTAAGGTTAAGAATAGAGGTTTGACCCAGAAATTTTGAGGACGAAATTTCTTTTGAGAGGGGGAGAATTGTCACATCCTAAATTTTTGGCCTAGAAGTACCAAAATTAGCTTGAAATGAGTAGGCTACTAGACCTTTTTTGGTAGAGGTCCCAGAGATTCCCTGGAAGGACAGTAGGATTCCTAGGGACTAAATTGCAAAGCGAAAGTTTTCTAGGACTGAGAAAAGAGGAAGTTAGAGACTTAAAAGAAGTCTTGGGACCCAAGAATGAGAAATAGAGATGAATACAGGCCAATAGTTATGTTGGAGGCCTCAATGAGGTGAATTTTGAGGTTAAGTCAAACTAGGGATAAAATTGTAATTTTGTAAAGTTTTGGGCTGGTAAGGGCAAAAATGGAAATTATGCGCAAAAATCCCAAAAAAATCTCATAAAATGGGAAATGGTAGGTTAAGACTTGAACATTTCAAAAAAATTCTAGAAAAAATGACAATAAGGTTCAGAGGCCTGTATGAGGCTAAAAATGATGAAAATGCCCCTAGAAGGAAATTATGAAATTCCTAAGGTTTTGACTAATTTGGAATATTTTCAAAAATGAATTATTTAAGGTATAGGAAGGCCTTAGATAATCAAACCAAATGGGAAAAAATACTTGAGAAGTTATCACAGGTTTTAAAAATAATTTCGTCCCCAAAAAACAAAGATGTTGGCTTTAATAGAATTTAAAGACTATTTATACACTACTCGGGAAAAGTCAAAGTCAACAATCTGGAGGTTAACTTTTGATGTAAGAAAAATTAGAAGAATTCTCCATAATGAATAAATAGTATTGGTACCTGGAGATAGATTCTTGAAGTTGTCGACTGATAGAAAGAATTCTGTCAATATCACTCAGAAATAAATATTATTAATTATTTTAATTATTTTAATGGAAGAATAAGGGAAGAGCATCACTCTGTCTTTGGGCATGTTATATAATGCTATGTGGATTTATTTGAGGTGAGAAAATAGTGCCATAATATGTCCTAGTGGTCCCAGGAAAGTCAGGACCCTAAAAAGTACCCTATACGGTGTAGAATGGCAAGATAGGTGGAGGAATGCCTAAGGGTTGTGTTTTGCACGAATTTTATATTAATTTTCTTCCTATTTTAATACTGAAATGATGAAGGAATATGGAGGAGACAAGTATACGGTTAGCTGGGAAAAGAAGGTATTACGTGTACGGCTAGATGCAAGACACATGTACAGTCAGATGCAAGACACATATATGGTTGGATTAAAAGCATGTGGATTGATGAGGTAAGCATGGTGTCATAGGACACTTTTCACCATAAGGTTAAAAGAGAAAATAGACAGTCCAGATCAAGCCACACATTTTTAAGATCAACAACCCAGATTCAGTCTTGTTTTCTATAAATACCTCCTCCCCACCTCTCATTTTCGCGTGAGCTCATGGAACCATGGGAAAAATCTTGCAAAATAGATTTTAGAGAGAGAAAGAAGAAGGAGGGAGAAAGGCTAGGTGTCTCCATGCAAGATGAAACTCTAAAACAAGGTATGTTCATGGTTTTTGATGTAGTTTTCACTACCCTTGTTGTTGTTGAGCTTGGTTATGGATTTTAATGATTTTTGAGAGCTTGGAACCCTTAGGGGAGGTGCTGAACAAAATTCTTAAGAATAGGGGAAGATGAAATTGATATTAGAATAATATTTAAAGGCTTGAAAGAAACAAGAATCAAGTGGTTTTATGTTAAAATTAGTTGAATTTCTTGATTATATAACTTGAGTAATATCTCGGCTAGGGCTGGTTCTTAGAGCTAGGATTGGATTTTGATGATTTTGATGCTTTTAATGTGTTTAAAACAAAAGAATTGTGTGGGGTAAAGGTGAGAAGACAAATTTGGAAGCATTAGAATTGAAAGTGGAATGTTGAGCCCTAAGAACCTATCTTCGATCAGATCAAGGTGAGTAGGGAGGAGTTTGATTTTGATTATTTTGAGCTTAGAAATTGATTCTACATGAAAAATTGTGTGGGAATAGCATTTGAAGTTAATTTTAAAAAGGTTGGAAATCAAGCTCAAAAGTTAGAAGTTGATATAGCTGAAAGAAAACAAAGTATTGGTGTTGTTAATTACCATGGCTCTAATGAATGAATGCAAATGATGTATTGGTGTATTTGGGTTCATGAGACATCAAAGGAAAGGAATGAAAAAGGTTGAGGAAGCAACCTTAATGGTTGGAAGCAAAAGGGAGCAAGTTGAAGGGCAAGAGAAAATTTATGATATAAGGTAGCGAACTTACCTTTCTTGTGTGCTTGATTGTATGTGCGTATGTGTTATGAATGCCATGATGTGATTAAGCTATGCTGCTAAACTATGATTGCTATGTTTAGTTAAGCATACCTTGGCATTATGTTATATGAATATGAATGAACTGGCTTATTTTCCATGGCATTTCACCATGCATAAACGATAAAGTTGTGCACAAAAGCATATCATACACGTGCATCCATCTTGCATGCATAAACGGTAATATTTGCTACTGAGATTCTCTTGAATCTCACCCTCCCTTAACCAACCATAATAGGTGATATAATCAAGCAAAGGATACATGAAGTGGAAGCAAGGAAAGAAGAAAAGATTTGGGAAAATTTGTTGTATTATGTTGTACACTGTATATACCAATGTATGTTGTAAATGTGCCACTGATGGTATGTGATGATAAATGAGGTTGTTGGCTTGTGTAATTAGCTATAATAGTGTATGGGAATGGTTAGTATATGAATGGAATGGTATTACGTATGAAAAGTCCTAATCATGAATTGTTAGTACAAGCTAGGGGATAAGCCATCCCTAGTTAAGCACCAAAATAGTAATGGAGTAGAAGTATGGCAAATGACTGACTTTGTCCATGAAATTTAGCATGATTGAAGTATACATCCTGAGCTTTAAAACAAGTGGTAGATCACTTAAAATGGATGTGTGTGCTAAGAGCTATGGTTGCTCAAAGTTGGACTGAAAATCTGAAATTTAAACAGTAAACAGTAACCTGAGAACCAATTGTAAATTTTCAATCTATGGCTTGTTTTGTGAATCGCTTAAATTGTAACACTTCTAAATATGTACTCTGAGGGGTTAAAAGAAGGATGTTTCACATAATATATAAATTTATATTTGATTTTTCAAGGTTCAAACAAATTTTTATATGACTTAATTAGATGTTCTACTCATTCTTTCATGGTTCTTGTTATCATACAACTCTCAACATATTGCAAATGAGCTTATCCACCATTTGCAAGTTGTGTTCCTATATGAAAGAAATATAATAGATGCTTTCCAAAGTTTATCTAGTTGAAGAGAGCACTTCAAACGATAGACCAGACCCACCCAACTTGTCTTCTATAACTTTGGACAATTCCTCTTCCATCTTAGAGGAAAAATGGTTCATCCAGTCTCCTACTTTACCTTTCCTAAACAAATCCTTGTTTTCATACTTGTGCACAAATTTGCCAGTCTTGTTTACCTCCAATTCCTTCATCTTCTCAAAGGTACAAAGCTCAATTATGTTTCTAATAGTGCCATTAATTTCCTCCTCTAAGTTTAACGGACATTCCAAGAACTCAGCAATTCTTTTCAAGTAGAAATTGATGTCTGCTTGCAGATCCTCATACTTTAAAAACACAACCCTGTCTGTTGTGTCTTTGCTTGCTCTCCAATAACTCAACATATTTGTCCAAAATGGACCCATATCATTGATCCCTTTGGAGTACCTCTCAAATGCACCCTCACATGATAATTTGGGTAAAGATGGTGGTGTGATTTTGTTGAGGTGAAACCAAAATGACACAAAATTGTCAAAAGGGTTTCGACATATGTAGATTAGCTTGCATTTGGAATTGGTAATTGAATTTGGCAATGAATGAAATGGAACATGTGTGCCAAAAACCCTTGGTTCGGGAATGATGGAGAGATCAGGAATTTGGTTATTTGCATAATGATGGAACTCAAGGAAAGGAACAAGCTCGTGTGCATTGGAATTAAGCAAATGATGGTTACTTTGCGAAGGAGAGAAAAGTTTACGATTCACAATAGCAAATGTAAGCGCCTTCAACCAAGTAGTACCAGATTTTGGCAAGGTGGCAATAACAATATCACTGTCTTTTGCTTGAAAGTGCCTTTGAAAAGAGCATATACCTTGAATAGTAGCCGGTGCATACCAAATGCCTTGGTAAAGATAAACATATGAGGTAACCCATCCCCTCCTTTTGGCAAGTGAAAGTAGTAGTTCCTTGCATTCTTGGTAATTTGTTCATATTCTTCATCGTAAGCTTCATTGTCTGACTCAACATTTGTTGTGGTGATAGTTTCAGCCATTAGAATGCTAGTATAGTCGATCTGCTATTAGAACATAGCCATAAGAATGTATCTCACAAGTTTCCATTATTTATAGGAAGCGGAGCAATAAAAGAAAGATTGTACAGGCAGCGTTTACTCTCCCTGAATCTGATTTTGCCGGCCATAACTTTGTTTTTGAATAAAACTTGGTTATCATCATCATTAGAAGTTGCTTACATCATTCCAGACGTTATAATACCATTCTTGTCTTCATCCACCACTAGATGCAAAATCTTGTGAAAGCCTAGCCAAGACATTTTTTACAATAAAGAATCCTATTTGTACAATAAATAATCTTATCTTGCTGGCCTGCATCCTAGCCAAGACATTTTGTACAATAAAGAATCCTGTCTTGCCGACTTGCAGCTTACCTCCAATTTATTGTTATTCACGAATCTAGTGTTAAGAGGAATTTTAAATTTGAATGATCAAACAATTCCCTAATATTGTTATATAAAATAATTAGATTTAATGACAATTAATATCTTGATTAATTATATTTGTTTTACTAATTTTATAATGATACAATAACCTTATCAGAAATATAATTTGATTTTGCAATTAGTGAGAAAATTAGAGAAAATATTGAAATCGTGTCTAAAATATAATAGAAAAAATTATATTGATAAAATTTTTAATATTTGAAAATGATATTTCTTTTCAATTCAAAATTTATTTCCTTGAAATGGTAATATAAATATATGAAAATTATTCTATCATATTTAAAATTAAAATTACAATTTAATATATGTGAAATTTTCAATAATATTATATATAAATAAGAAATACAAATAAAAAATAAATATATGATATAAATATTATTGTACTGAAAACTTTTTTAAAATATTATTTATATTTATTAATACATATTAACATAAAATATGAAAATTAAATGGAAATATTTAATAAGATATTAAATTATATGTGCGTTTACATAATGTAAAAATAATATGTGTGCGATTGTTTTTGTGAAGTAGTGAACTATTATTTATGTTAAATTTTGAATATTAAAACTGCAAGTTGATCTTAATTCAATTAGTAAAAACTCTACTCGGTGGTCACACACACCCAAGGTCATGGAACGAACCACAGGTTTGCCACAAATTAAACCAATTTATTTAAAAATTAAATTAGTGATAGAAAGTACTATATGAAAAGTACAAAAATACCCTCGACTTAAAAAATACCCTCTCCCTTAATAGCAGTGCTTTGCAAATCTTGACCGGACTAGTTGGTTCAGGCTAAAAACTAGTAAACCAGCCACTTGTCCAGTTTGGTCTGTCACCGAGACAGAAGAAACTTTAAACCAGTGTAAACCATCCTAACTCAGTGTGAACTGGGTATAAACCGGAAAACTAGCTAAGTTGGATCGCTTAGCCTGATGGCTTGGAAAAATAAACCAGATGGAGAAATATGAAGCGAGGAAGAAGAAGCATAGAAATAAAAGAATGGCCTCAGTTTGCCTCTCGCTCTGCAAGTTTACCTTTTCTCCTTTGCAACTACAAGTCAGTCGACCTTGATCTATTCACTCCCCTTTGAGTGTCTCTAAAATAAAGGTGAGGAGGTGTGAACCGTGGAGGTATGAAAATAAAGAAGGGAAGAAGAGCATCTAAAATGAAAGAAGACGAGAGAGAAAAAGAAACAAACAAAGAGAAAAGAGAAAAAGGATAAGGAGAAAAAAAAAATTGAAAATAGAAGAGCTTGGTAACTATTCAATATGATTTGATTAATGATTCAGACTTTAACGTGAGAAGCTTTGAAAATGATAAAAATAGAGAGAGCAAAGTAAAATTTGAAATAAAATAAATTAATACTAAAAATATATTAATTGTTAACAATACGGGTTATATTTCTCAGAAAAAGATCTGATTTTTTTTTTTTTGACCTTAAGATCTGAGGTACTAATAGAAAACATGAAACCACATATATATAATTCTTTAAATATAATCGTTTATTTTATATATATTATTAATGGCAAACAAATATTATATACTACCTCCGGTCCTTAGTATAAGACCTTGTTTGATTTTTATTTTGGTCCTAAATATAAGACCCCAATCCACTTTGTCTCTCATATTTATACATTTTTTTTCAAAGTAGCCCTTCTAACAATGATAGTTCTAGTTAATACACTTGATTAGCAAGGATATTTTAGGAAAAGACAACATCTATTTAGGACAAATAACTAACTCAACTTACTTCCTTAATTTTCTCAAATTAGTCAACTGGCTCTTATAATTAAGACCGGAGGTAGTACATTATTATAATTACAAAATAAGTCACGTATTATTAATTTTATGTGCAAATATTATGTATTGATTATTATTTGACATTTGCTTTTATATCTTATTTTTATTTTTTATTTGAAATAATCAATATATATTTGAGAATATGTTATTTTAATTAACATCAGTCTGACTCCGGGTTGACCCTGATTTGACCAATTAACCCTTGACTTACTATCTCAATTGGTCTAGTGACTGGTTCAGTTTTCATTACCTTGCTTAATAGCCTCGATGCTGAATAGCTTCTAAAGCAACTCCAAAGATAAATATAGATCCCAAAGCTCCATCAGTTTATCTTACTTTGCAACTCCAAAAATAAAGATGGCAGACAAATAACATCTAACTATGCAGTTTGAACATGTTGTGCAGCTGACAGTAAAGGTCAAAACCAATTGGATTTCTTCAAGAGGAGGAAAAAAATGAAGTGTTGTGATTATGTTACAAGGCACAGAGCAATCTCAAGCATTGAATCAAGGGAAAATGACCATAAAAGAACCTAGGAAATAACTAAATCCTTAAAAGGTAACCCATATACCCACTACCCAAAAAAAAAAAAAAAAGACTTTAGGTGACGACTTTTGGCAGCAACAAAAAAAAAAGTCCGACTTTCAACAGCAATTTTCTAATGTCGTTGTTGAAGGTTTGACTTTCAACAACGACTTTCTAATATCACCATTGAAAGTATAATCTAATAATATATATTTTATTTTACAATAATAATAAACAAATTCAATCCACTGAAAGTATAATCTAATATCACGAGTTCGAACCTTGAAGAAGACACATTTAAAATGAAAATATTTGGGCGGTGATATGGCAGAGAGGGGTAATGTGACATGAGAATGGTGATGTGGCAACGGCGTGGAGGTGGTTGACGATAACGTGGAGGTGACTAGTAATGATGTGGCATCTGGTGGGTGATGATGTGACTACCGAGAGTGATGAAGTGGAGGTGGCCAGTGATGACATAGTGTTAGAGGTGATGACATGGCATCATTAAAACCAATTTTTCTTAGGTATCACTTTTAACGGCAACAAAAAAGTCGCTGCTGAAAGTCACTTTTAGTGGCGACAAATGTTGCCGCTGAAACTTCTAAAAGCCGTCGCTAAAAGTGTCTTTCAGTGGTAACCTTTTTTGTTGTTGCTAAAAGTTTTCAACCACGATCGCTACGACAACAACTTTTTTGGTCGCCACTGAAAGTGTCATTTCCGTGGTGACTTTTATAAGTCACCGCTAAAAGTCAAATTTTTTTTTAGTAACCATATTCCCAATAAAGTGAAGAAACTTTAAATGGCATCAGGAAATTAAGTTGAAATGACACAAATGCCTTTATATGACATAAAAGAAATAAAGAGAGGAGAGAAAGAAACATGCATGTTGTTGAGATTGCATGATTCCTAAACTTGAGCAGCTAATAAAAACTTGGCTTTTTTTTTTTTTTATGAAGTTTGGATTAGAGATTATCAAGTACCTTTTCGATAACAAACAACTTATCAAAACACTACAAAAACATATGATAACTGATAGAACTTTTATTTAGTGATGAAATCACTAACAGAATCAAATGAACAATGGAATTTTTTCAATCACTAATTGTTTGTTGCTAATTGAATTAGGATAAAATTGAAATTTTTTCAGTAGTTAGCAATGAATTACCGAAAAACTTTTCATCACTGGTTACCAACGTAATATTTCTGTCATTAATTAGCTACAGAATTTAAAGAGGAAAAATTTTCATTGCTAATTAGCGAAGGAATTTACAAAGGAAAATTTTTGTCATTAATTTAGTTTTTTAACAATTTTAAAAAGCTGTCACGTGGCCACTCCATAAGGTGCCACCTCATTGCCGGTGATGGACTTCAACTGCCATTGCCATGCCGCTTCCGGTACCAAGTGTCATCGCCATCTCACCATTGCCGCCGTATGTCATTGCCTTATGTTAACACAATGTTGGAACCAATTTATGATAAACCTAATACCCCGTATGGAACTCAAAATTTGGGTGTTTGGTATAATTGAACCCACTTCCATGGAAGCACCAGTTCCATCAAATTTGGGCACCGGCACTTCCATCCTTCCCCTGAGAACTAAGTTCCAGTTCCAAGGAACTGGTGTTCGGACCATTTTGCCCCTCCTCCTTCCCATCTTCCTCCTCTGTCTCTCGCCCCAAACTCTGCTAATTCTCTACTGGCAACGGCCCTCCACGGCGATGGTGATATGGTTCTCAGCCAGCAACGACGACAAACGGGATTCCATCGTCTCCCTCAAGCAGCGAACTCAACTCTGCTTTGTCTCCTCATGGCAAGAAGCGCGATTCAGCCAGGTTCTTTAGATCTGGTTCACTATGGGGTGGATCTGATTCGATACAGTGATCTCCGATGGCGATGAGTCTTTTTCTCACTAAATCCATTACTCGATGACGACAAAGACTTCAATCTGCGGCCCCTTCTTCGCCTTTGATCTGTGAAACTTTCTCCCTTTCCATCCTCTCCTCCTCCTTCTTCAGTTGTTTAGATTGATTATTGATGAACTTTTGATTATTTTCTGGTCTTTGTTTTGCTTTTACTTCATGTCCAGAATATTTCCAACGACTATGTTAGTCAAATTATGGTGGTGGACGGCGGATTGCTGGTTGTGGATACGTGAAAGGGGAAGAGTTTTTTTTTTTGTTTGTTTGAGGGCATTTTAGTATTGTCATGTTATAGAAGTATTTTTCAATTAAAAATTTATTCCACTTCCATATTCCCACCAAACATGTTTTATAGCCCAGTTCCACTCCCAATTCTACTTCTACTTCCAATTTTTGCTCCATAATAACTCTTCGTATCAAATGGGGCATAAGATTCAAATACACAATCTCACCTGTTTCCATGAAAGTTTCCATCTTAAACATAAAACTGAAATATGAATGATTTAGATTTCATATTTTATATAATTATGAATAAAATTTTAATTCTTTTAAAAATAAATAAATTAAATTAAATTACTAAATTTTAGTCATGATGATAATTCATAACAATAATAAAAAATAATTTATAAACTATGAAATCTGAACCGTTTAATTTTTAATCTTAATGGTTGAGATGGAAAATTGTAGTGACCCTAAAAAATTTATACAAGAGGTTCAGTATTTTTTATTATTCATCATGATTATCAGCTCAAATGGTTTGTGACAAAGTGGAATTGAAGGTTATAACATATTTTTTAGGCAAGGAGTTTGAATTTGGGCTATGTCATGGAAAGGGTTAATTTTTGATCCAAAAAAAGGAAAAGGGTTAACTTTTTCTTTAGTACCACCAAAATTACTAAAAAACCCTTTTACCTAGGAAAATATGAAAAGAAACACTTCCATAAGATATTTTCTTCCCCCTCATGAAAAAAAGGAACCTTCAGAGTTGCCAGCGTGCGTGTACGGTGGTGGGTTCGCTGGTGTTGCAAATTTCAGAGTTGTGTTCCTCTTCTTCAAGCTCTGTCGTTTGATCTCTATTTTTGTCATTGCTGTTCCCTAGTGGCTTAGAGAAGGATTTGTGCTGCACCTCTTTTCCTTCGCTATCGTAACTAGCTAGTGAAGCCTTAGGTAGATTCGAAATTCCTTCCTCTTTCTTAACTTGCGTAGTAGTATGTGAGAGGAACTTTCATTTCATTTTTCCTTCATCTGTTTCGCTGCTATTATTGTGTGTGGTTGAGATTATTTGAGTCATTTGCCTCTGGTCCTCTACTCAATATATGCGTGTGCGCGGTGCTACGTTTGAAAGGTCCTTCCTTTTCTTACATTTATGTGACTGCCGCGTGAGTGTGTGGAATACGTGGAGTTCGAATAATTTACTTGTGGTTGTTTTTGTGATGCTGTGCGTGGTGTAGGAGGAATGATGGAAGCTTAAACAAACTGGAATTGTAGTTCATTATGTTTGGTGAATTTGTTAAGCTATAGTTACACCCAAGGTGTTTGTTATGATTTGTAGGATAAGAATTTAATTAGAATGTTGTTGAAATTCTAGCTCGCAAAGGTTTATGTTGTAAGAAGAAACTTGTTTTGTTAATTTTAACTTTGATGCATGACAAATGTGAAACATCCTTCTATTTATCCCTTTTAGTACTATCTGAACGTATTACGGTTCAAGTGTTCAAGCGGATCACAAATAAACCCATCGATTGAAAATTTAGAATTTGATTATCGGATTACTATTCACTAGTAAATTCCAGATATTTTATCCAAATTTGAAAATTTATAATTAATTATAGAAAAAATTGTATTGAGGTGATTTAAGTCCCCATTTAAAGCTTTCTCAATTCTCTACAGGAAAAAAAAAACTCATTGGTTCATCTTCTTACTCATTCATTCCACAATTACATGTAAAGTTGTATTATTTATTTGGTCAAACAATTTAGTTTTAGATTCTATGTTCTAACTTTGAGCAACCATATCCCTTAGCATACACATTTATTTTAAATGGTTTATCACTTTTTTTAAAGCTTAGGATGTGTATTACTAGTTCACCAAATCTTATGGTCAAATTCGTTTATTTACTTTACCTTCACTCTGTCATAAGTTTATTGCTCATAATGAAAAAATTTATCCCTTTATTTGCATTAATATGCTATAAACTTTCTTTATCTTGCATATTATCATCCCGACAAACCATTGTTATTTCCATGCATTATTATACTTATTCATGCATACTAATATCATCATTTCTCATCACATAATATTAATGGTATATTTGCGATTACATCATCGTAAAGAGTTACATAGCATAACAAAACATAATATTATACTTTTCTCAAATTCTCTCTTCATTCTTGATCTTCCTCATGCATTCCTCTTCCCTTGCACACGTTCTTATTATGGTTGGTTAAGTGTTACATCCTGATAATTATTACTTAGAAAATGAGGAACTTAGAACTGACTAAAGGCCGTGTAATGTGATAGAAATAGAGATGGAACAACTTTTGAAGCGAAATCCGGGGAAGGACTGGACTTTCATTTTGAAAATTTTTGATCAAGGAAGGGCAAAATTAGAAATTATGTCCAAAATTTCTAAAAATTCATAAAAAAATGGAATAAAGAATCTAGAGTAGTATTTGAAGCCTACAAAGTATAAACAGAGTAAAAATAATTTATTTTAGAATTTTTTGTAATTATTGGTATTTTTGGCTAATTAAGCGAAAATTGACCAAAATGAATTATTTTAAATATGTAGAGGTATCAATAACTTATGAAAAAAATTAGAAAAATTAGTTGAGAGGTTATTAAAATTATTCCCAACCTATGAAAGTACAGATGTTAGCTTTAAAATATTTAAAGCCAAATTATGTCGGTAAAAGACTGATTTTTTGAAAAAATTGAATAGATGGAATTACAGGTCAATTTTTTACTTTCAAAAAATAGGAGGACATCTCCTTATTAAAAGGAAGTTATTGGAATAGAGAAATAAATTTTAAGAAGTATTGGATTAGACAAGATTTAGAAAAAATTTAATTGATATCACGAAATTATACAGTGCAATAACTGAAAGCTTACTTAGGGGAAATGTTTTTCAAATTTTCTGTATGGTTTGGCATCAAAAATGGAGGAAGAGGACATGGATGGAATAATATATTTTGTTAAGGGTTAAGTTTGGAAGAATAGAATTACTTAATAAAAAATCAGGTTTTCTTCACATGTGTGATTAGGTGTTATGTGAGTTGGCTTTTTCTAGAAGCAAAGAGTAAATAAAGCAAGACACCTCATGTGTTTACTTGGCAAGATCATAAGGGATCAAGCACAAGATGAAGCTAAGTGTAATGGTAAGGGTAAATGGTAACTTAGGGTTACCATATGGTGACTTTTTCAAGCTCTTTTATAAATACCCCTTCCCCTCCCTTTATGCCAAAATTTTCAACCAACTCAAGGGAAAAAAGGGAAGAGAGAATTAGGCCAAGTAGGAAAGAAGAAGGAAGAAGAGAAAGTAAGGAGAATCTAGGTGAAATTAACAATTAATCAAGGTAAGATCATAAATCTTATCCTAGCTTATGAAGCTATATTTATTGTTGGTTTTATATAGGGTTATGATGGAAGTTGAAAGCTAGAAACCCTAATCCTAGTTGTTGTCCAAGTTGTTACATATTGAGAAATAAAAGATTTGAGAATCATATAGTGATTAGAGCATAGAGAATGGTTGGAAATTAGTCTTTTTAACTTGGCTTTTGAAAGTATTCCAATTTATAAAACATATGGATATGGTTCGACCAAGCTTGGAACGTAGGGCTAGAATTTGATTCTTGTTAATTTGAAGCTTCCAATGAGTTAAAAGCTAAAATTGTGTAGGATTGTGATAACCTCTTGAAATTCCTACCAATTCAACTTGTTTTAACACTCTTTTCTGGGTTTTGGAAGCTAATTGTGTAGGGTTATTCCCTTAAAGTTAGAAAATATGACTTGAAAACATAAACTTTGTTTTATGCTAATAATTGGGAATTATTTGTGCAATGCTTCTAAGATTATTGTTGTATGAAATAGCAAGAGCTGGAAGAAGAATGACAGGGAGAAAGATTTAACTAATTTTGGCTGATCAGAGGGAGATTAAGGACCCAGAGCAAGTAAAGATGGAAGATCGAAGGTAGAGAGGCTGAAAAAGCACCTTATGCTATGGCACAAGAAGCAACCCACCATGGCATCTCCAATAGAAAGGCAGGGGAGGCATTCTGTATAAGATGCAGTAGCACCTGTCTACATCTGTCGCAGCGCCTAGTCCTTCCTAAAGAGCTTGCCATTCTATAATAAGTGCCATAGTGCTTGTCTATATCCGCTGCTATGGCCAACCCTTTCCAAGAAGTTCCCATTCTGTGTAATCCACAGTGACATATTAGCATATCTATTGATTGTTGTAGCATCTGTCCTCTTACAGCTGTGTGTTTTGCATTTATAACTTAAAAATTAGGGCATATAAG